CAATAGGGATATGTAAAGTACAATGGCAAAAATTAAAAATTACTCTTAATGATAATAGTTCAAAACCCTGAGATTTACCTTTATCTATAGATATTTTGAAAAAGATCAATAGGTGGGCCTCATCTCAGACAAATTAAATCAGAATCTTGAGGGAAGGGGATGGCTCTTGCGTTTTTTAAAGCTTCCCAGATGATTGTAATATATAGCTTGCGTTGAGAACTACTGCTTTTAAAGGATAGTGGATTTTATTTTATTTTTTTAATTTTATTTGTTTATTTATTTTTCCCCAAAGCCCCAGTGGATAGTTGTATGTCATAGCTGCACATCCTTCTAGTTGCTGTATGTGGGATGCGGCCTCAGCATGGCCGGAGTAGCGGTGCGTTGATGCGCGCCCGGGATCCGAATGCGGGCCGCCAGTAGCGGAGCGTGCGCACTCACTGCTAAGCCACGGGGCCAGCCCGGGATAGTGGATTTTAACGTCAGAATTACAAGACCCAAAGACATGAAAGAGGCACTTGGGAATTAGTGTAGACTTTTCTCTGAAGCTTCAGCCAAAGGCATCAGCAAAATGGTTGCCATCATCAGAAATGACTTTTGAAGAAAAAGGTAAAAGACACAGATTTACTCTGTTCAAAATGGTAGTGTACCTGCATGTGGAATATGGGGTACAATTCTGGTCATTGTGCAAAATGTATAACAGAGTTAGAGAGGCACAGCAAATCAAAGAAAAAGAGATCAATCATTTCAATCTAGATGATTGAAGAGGGAAATCAAGAAAGGTTAGAGCCTCTTACTGAAGAATATGAACTTGAAATATCCACTCAAATCTGGTAAACTAAAACTAAAGAGCTTTTTGGATACATGGAAAAGACATGCTTAAAAAAAAAAATAACAGGATATAGTACGTTTATGGATTTGTACATCTCATATTGGGATGAAGGATGCTAAGTCTTCACCAACATCAGTTTTCTCCCCTTTTGGGCCAGTAGCTCGACCACAGTTGCCAACTTCTCTTACAGTTATATGTGGCCCTGTGACCCAGCTCCACCTAGTGAAAATGTGCTGCTTCCAGGCCTAGCACAAAGGAATTCTGGTGTGTACACCTTTGTGGCTGACAGGGATGGAGACAACAGGTCCACTCCAGAGGCCCCATGGCTTGAAGATAGCAGAACCATTGGGTGGGTTCCATCAGGAGGATTTCCTGGATGACCATGTGTGGAATTCTGCTTTCCCCTACCAAGACCACTTTCCTTGGACAGTTTTGTAAATGAGGGGTAAAATATATATTATGTTTGAGCTATATTATATTTTTGTTTTTTGATCTTTATTTGTTAAAGTAGTCAATATTATCTTAACTAATACAAGGTAGCAAGAGGTACTTCTGTACAGGAGAAACTAATCTTAATAAAATATAGTCCCTCCCTATCCATTCCACATCAGTGATCCTGGTTCCATTTGTCTTTTGAAATAGCAGGACAGGTAAGTCTGAGTCCCTCGTGGAGCCCACAAAAGGCCATGCTCACCTCTTCTCCAGTTTCTGTTCTTCCTTGATCTGGCAAGGTTGTCCCCTCATCTCTATCCATTCATGCATTTCTCAAGGCCAAGCTCAAGGCCCATTCATCATGATGAGACCTTTTCCTGTTTTGAAGCCACTATTATTCTCAATTATTATTTGAGAATCTTATTATTAATTTGACATTTATTTACATTATTATTTGGTTATTTGGTTAACTGTTTCAGGACTGAATTCTTAGAATGATGCAACGATCGTTTCATTTTTCTTGCAGTCCTATCAGTATCTACTGCACATAGTGAATGCTCAAACCAACAGACATTAAATGCATTACTTAGTGAGAAGTCTTCAGGTTAAAAATGTGAATAATGCAAAAAATACATTAGGTTATTTTGTAGAGGACATCTGTAAGGGGGGAATAAGAGCATTGTTTCGTTGAGATTAAGGAATCCTCATGTATAATGATACAATTTTTAACTCATAAATTTTATATTTAATATAGTACCAAGGCACTCTATTAAGTATTTTATCTATTTTTAATCTCAATTAATCCTTCTGACAGTCTTGTCATGTAACTATTGTTTTGTCCATTTTATAAATGAAAAAATAGAGATCCAGGAAAGTTATTTAAATTTCTTAAGTTATCTAAATTTCTTACTTAACCAGTAAATGACAAGAGAGAATTCAAATCTAACTCAATCTGAATCTTATACCTACTGCTTTCCTCACCTATATTAAAATATCTTCCATTTCTAATTGGTAAAGACAGTTCCTGCCAAAGAATGTGTAGACTCATGGGATGGTACATCTTGTGGCCACTTTCATAACTCGGACTATCCATCAAGTAGATTGGAAGTGTATATATTTTCTTTAACAAGCTAACCAAAATGTATAATTGAAAAATGACATGTAGTATGTTAACTGTCGAAGAAATATTCCATGCAGCCAAAGAGAAGAAAAAAATAAGGATATTGAAAAAAAATGTAATGAAAACATTTCTCATTATTCTGATTTTATAGGATAATTTAATAAAAAATTGTCTTTATCATTATCAATTTATCATGTTTTATTTGCATTTAGGGCTAGGTGTCTTTGCCTCAAATGATAGGGCAAGAATTTTATTGTTCACCATTTCAGGAGCCATTTGGGGCATGTTTAATTTTATTCCAACCAAGCTCTAGACTTGCCAGGTTAATTATTAATGAGTAAGTGGGGGATGGAAAGGATTTTATATAATTCTGCCTGAGGCTCCCCATCTCTTACCCTATTCGACTCACTGCTCATATAAAAAGATCAGTGTCTGCTGTTGGCAGATGGTCCATAACCTGCCTATAATAGTAATACTTCATGTTTTCTAATGGCCTTCTTTGCAGGGATCTCAAATTTTGAAAACCGACAACCATACAATACTGCAATAACCATCACAGGTCTGTTTTACATATGGTTAAACTACAGAAATGAATCAATGATCCATAACTCTTGAGTCATTTACACTTGCCACTAGAGGAGTTTAATTTTTCACACATTTTATTCTCATCATCCATCACATAAAACCAAAGATATACCAATCATAGATTGAAAATCTGAGCTCTTCAAAGAAAAAAAGTAATCGTATCAGTCTAATAAATGACACTCCAAGATAGATAATCATGGTCTTTTATTGATTTCCTTGCAATTCTTGGCAGGAAATGGTGGCTATTTTTAATCATAGATGGTAAAATACTCAAGCAGAAGCTGTTAGAGAGATTTTCCCCAGAGGAAAGGCTTCTTCTGAAGAGAATAATATAGTTTCTTTCTAGGCATCTTGTACGTTTCATTCCATTCTCAAATGTATCCTGAGGAAAGATGACCATCTGGCACCAGAAGCAATATCGTACCTTACAGCTCACCAATTTGCTTTGGGTGGCCAAGAAGCCCCTCTTGGAATCATCTTTCATGCCTACCTGCCTGCCTTACCAGCTAGTGATGATCTGGCTTTGCTCAGTGGGGCAGGCTGCCTTCATCCCGCAACCAGTTTGAGCACCTACTATGTGCTGATGCTAGAAACACAGTGATATACAAAGGAGACCAAATTCCTGTTCTTAAAAAGTGTAGAGTATAGTGGAAGAGATATTTTAAAAAGTAATTACAGGTCTCTTACTTTAAAAATGGCAAGCTAGCTTATTTGGACAAGTCTCCTTGTTAAAAAAAAACTAAGAAGTTGGTCAAAATACATTTAAAAGAATATTAAGGTGCATCAAAGAGCTGACAATACAGTGAAGTATTACCAGGCCAAAACTGAAGGGAAATGAGAACCAGCAAACTGCTTTTGTGCTGAGAGCATTTGCACATTCAGAAAAATTTCAACTTTCCTTTCAACAACCTTGTTGAGGGAGGGGAACTAAAATAAAAGCGCAGAGTCTGCAAGTGATGCAGGGTCTGACATGAGATCCTCCCAATAAGCTGGGACGGCAAAGGGCCACAGGGCATGGGTGAACTGGAAGAGGATCACTTCTTTCTTTAAATTGCCCAAGTTATGCAGGAAAACTTAAGTCTCAAACTTTACGTTTCCACTGTTAAAGTGGCCTGTTAGTACTTCTGGGTGAAAGGCAAAAGCAAATGAAAGTCTTATATGGAGGATGGTACTTTCACTCTTGACCTCTATAAATTTCTGCTCTTTCTGAGAATGAGGAAGTCATATGCCGAGATTTAAGGTTGTTTCAGGGGAGCTGGTGAAATGCAGCTCAAGATTGGAATAGCTCATGGGAAGAATGGGAGAAGAAACTAAAGAGAGTGAAATTAAAAAAAAACACCACTACCGCCGCCAACACTGAGCAGCTGAAGCAGTCCAACGGATCCTTGAGCCAGAGATTCTAACAACTGTCTAAGATCTTTCTGGGCAAAGTGTGGTCCTTGGAACTTCCACATCAGCACCATCTAAGAGCTTATGAAAAAACAGACTCTCTAGCTTAACCCCAAACCTACTGAATCAGAATCTGCATTTTAACAAATTCCCCTGGTGATTCGTATGCACATTATAGATTGAAATAATGAATGAGAATAATGAAGCCTGAACTAGATCGGTGGGAAAGGAGAAGGACTGATGGAAATGTAGATGCTGTACATTCTGATTGTAGAGGACACAGGTTGGCTAACAGACTCTGTAGTTTCTAACTTAAGCACCTGGAAACATAGTGCTTCAACGTGCTTTCAAATCCCATGGCGTACACAAAGCCAATCAGGGAAGGGAAATGGTATTACACAACTTTTTTTTTTCCTACTTGATGCTTTGGCTTAGAGAATGTGGGCATTTAGACAGAAAATCCATTTGATTATAGTGGAGGTGTAACTGAAATTCAATATCTTGAGTCTGGAACCAGTAATCATCCTGCTGAGCATAATGTTAGATAGAGTCTTTTCCAGGTGTGATGAACAAGGCTAAATATGAAAAAGAATTCTATCCCGCGGGAGACTGTTGCGGTTGGCCAGCTCCTGCTCCACAGTAACCATGTGAGACTGAAAAGCCGTGATAAAGAATGCAGATGTGTCAGAGGAGATGCAACAGGACTTGGTAGAGTGCGCTCCTCAGGTGCTGCAAATATACAGCATAGATAACGTTGCCACTCATGTGGATAAGGCGTTTGACAAGAAGTACAATCCCACCAGGCATCACATTATGAGGAGGGACTTCGGTAGTTACATGACACATGGAACCAAATACTTTATCTACTTCTACCTCGGTCAAGTGGCCATTCACCTGTTCACATCTGGCTAAAAGCATGGACTATGCCACGCACACAGTGATCCATCCAAAAACAAGGACTACAGCCTAAATTCCAAATACTAGAAACTGAAATCTTCAGTCTTGCTAAGGGAACATCTTGATCTTTGGACCTTTATTGTGTTGCTTTGTACAGGGCAGTCTCTCCACTAGTTGGTTGTAGTTATAAAATGATTAGCAAAATAAATAAGAAATATATATATATATATAATTTAAGTGTGTTTTAAAAATTAAGAATATTTGTACTACCCTGATAAACTTTAATATTACTTTAAGCATGAAGATGTGCTATGAAAATCTTTCACAAAGGTTTTTTTACTATTTATTATTTCTTTGACAATACTGTTCTATAATTTGTTCATAAAACATTAATTAGCGCACATAGAGCCAATATAAAACAAATTAAAATTAAACACAAACAAAAGGTGGGAAGTGAACAAATCCTTGAGTTAAACAAAGGGAGACATATTTGTCTTGAGATTTGAGTTTTGGCAAGAAGCTTTGGGAAGCTTTAGGAATCCTTATCCAGGTATAGGTCAGGATAAAATGGTGATCACATGTCCATTTCCTCTTCCAGTAGTGACTAAGATGACAAGCCAACTACTGGAGGACTGAATGTGGCCCACAGATGTTTTGTCTTCCTCACACAGTCATTTTTTTTAGTTGGGAGATTTCCCATTAAAAAATTTAGATTTCTTGCTTCCTTGGAAAAAATGAAACTGACAGCACTGAGCCCATTCCTGCCTGGCAACAATGGACTGTAGTAGAGTAGCAGCTTTCTCCTTTAGACCTGCTCCCACTTGACTTCCTAGTTGATGTTCCCATCCTGCCTCCTGTAGACATTTTGTATTTGACCACTCTACAGTCTCTACTTCTTATCGGGAGAGGACACAATCTTTCTACCATTTAGAGATAACTAGCTAGGGCTTATGAAATTCATAATTGATTTTAGACCTGTCAACTGAACTACCTTTTTAGAAGATGGGGAACAAGATGTGCAATTTATTATAGACTTCAGCCACGTTTTCCTCTTTGCATCTCCACTGATTCTTGCTGTTGATTTTCCTTTGAGCACATTGGTGTGTGTGCCTGAATTGTAAGTAGTGACAGGTTGAACTTCCTCTGCACCTGCATGTGTCAGAGTTGCAAATAACAATCACATAGGCAGAATAATAATGATGGCAATATAAAGGGAGAAGTCTTCCTCCTAACTTAGTGTCTGGAGATTTTTTTGTAATGAATCTCTTCTTTAGCTAGAAAGAACATTTCCCTCTCAAAATAATGTCTAGTAAATGTCATGTGTGGACTTACATTCCATGTAACTATTCCCATTTCTAAAAATCTGTTTGAGGTCAAGAATTGACATTGGCTTGTCTTCTTTTATGAACCCTTGTCTCTGGAGTTCATAAATTCTCCAGGACTTATTAACTTTTGGAAGAAGTTAGCAATATTTTAAAATGCCTTATAGATAATTTGGTAGATTAACATGCCATACATCTGACCATAAATTTGATATTAAAATAAAATTCTATTTAACCTTTAAGGCCCACAATCCATTTTTAACTTGTTTCAGAAAAAATCTGGCCCAAGTCAGAAATATGAGTCACTTGAGACACCCTCCTTTCCTGAAGGTTGTTAAATTATATACTCTAAAATCTCTAGCACAAATATGCCTTTCCTGACTTATTTCCTCCTTGTCCCTTACATGAATATTTTTCCCTTCCAAGATGCCTCTCATCTTACCTCTTTTCTTTGCCGATGCTCAGGCATCCCCAGGTCTTGTGTTCTCATCCCCATCCCAGTCTGTCCAAATCCTACCCAAGCTTCAGAGACCTTCTCAAATGCATACCCCCCATGAAAACATCCCTGCCTATTACTTTCTGAATCAATCATTTGGTATATATCATGTGCTAGATTGAAATATCATTCATCTCATTAAGTAAATGTTTTAATCCCTTTAGCAATATGCTTACAAAAGAAATGGACTGTATCCTATTTTTTTTTTTTTTTTTTTTAGCCACTAAATTGCTTTCCATGAGAAAGACTCTATAAATACCCATTGACAGCCTGGTTCTGAGATCTAATTGCTTAAATCAAAGATCCTACACCATCAAATTTTCTCTCCAGAGAAAATCTTTCCTATTGGCAGAAAAACATACTTCTATTCCTGGTATGTTTTTTAAAACTCCTCTCTTGACCTCATTTCTCCCTCTAACTATAGCCCATTTCTCTGCTCCCCTTGGTAGCTGAACTGATGCTCTCACCCAGTTTTCATGGATTTGAATGTTCAGCCTATATGATATCGAATAGTTACATCAATCTTAACATATCCAAAATCAATTCTGATCTCCATTCCTGACCCAAAACACCTCTCCTGCCATTTTCTACAACTCATTTAACAGTAACTTCATCTCTCTAGTTGTTAAGGCCAGATGTCTTAGGATTATTTTTGACTGTCTCTCTTATATCCAATATCCAATCCAGTGGCAAATCTTATTGTGTCAAACTCCAAAATTTATCTGGACTCCAAAGACTTTTCACTTCCCACACTGCTCCTATAATTACTCAATCATCTTCTGCTTGGATTATTGCAATAGCCTTCTATCAGCTCTGCCAGCTTCCACCCTTGCCCAGCTTCAGTCTGTTCTCTACACACTAAGTAGCCAGAATGTTGCTATCAGATCATGTCACTTCTCTGCCTCACACTCGTCCAGTGACTTCCCATCTCAATCAAAGGAAAAGCTGAAGAATCTCCAAAGGCCTACAAAGTCCTATGTGATCTTAACCCAAACCTCTTTATCCCCTAGTACTCTCTCCTTTGCTCATATCCTTCCAGCCACATTGGCCAACTTGTTTTTCAAACTTACCAGCCTTGCTTATGCCTCAAGGGCTTTGCACTTATCATTCCCTGGTGCAGTCTTCCTTCCTGTCTCCACACAGCTCCCTGCCCTTAGGTGCTCCAGTGTCACCTTTTTAGTGAGACCTTACATGAATGTGAACAGTCTCTTTAAAATGGCAATCTCTACCGACCTCAGCACTCCTTATTATCCTCAATTACTTAATTTTTCTTTACATCACTCATCCATATCTGCTATACTGTAGATTTTACTTATTTTGTTTTCCCAACTAGAATGTGTACTCCATTAGAGCAGAGCAGGGTTTGTTTTTTGTGTGTGTGTGCTGTTTGCTGATTTATCCCTAATGCCCAGAACAGTGGCAGGCACATAATAGTTATTTAATTCAATATTTTCTGAACATAAGAGTGGCTAAATGAATGAACGAATGACTAACAGATTAACATTATCTATTGCAAAACTAGATTATAGATGAAATACAATTATAATACATTTCTTATGGTAAATTCAGAGGGAAATTCCCATGCTATCTTGGGATGATGCAAACCACTTTTTGGGCCTTAGGTACCACATACACACTGAACTTCTTACAAATTTTTTCTCTACCCCTCACCGTTTCCTTGAGCTTTACATTCACCTGTCCGATGAACAATTCATAATAAAGGTCCTCAGGCACTGTAGACTCAGTGTGCCCCAGATCTCATTGTATCCCCCTCAAACCTACTCACTGTGTTATGCTAACTACCTCATAAATGGCAACACTTCTTGCCCAAGCCAGATACGTGGCAGTTTTCCTAGAATCCTCCTTCATCTGGCATAAGCACATCTCAGCACTCTAATGATAAGAATTGCAGAGATAGCCCCAGCTTTTCCTCATCTTTCCAAGAAACGATGGCAAGATAATTTTTGAGAGAGAAATTTGTGGTTTTTTTGTTTTCCTCTGCTCTTTTACACCAAGCAGGAGAGTAGACCTGTAAGTGTTTTCTTGCCACAGGAATTTTTTCAGTGTTCAAAGTAGAAGGTGAGTGCTTCCCAAGGGCAGAAGAAGTGGTAGCATATGAGAGACACAGAACCAAGACATTAAAACAGATAGTTATAGGGTACATGGTGCTCCCAGGGAGGTCTGTCCTAGGCATAGTGGTGTTCACACCTTCCAAAACGCCACACTCGTCAATTAAGACTTTGGAAATGGAAAATCCCCAGACTCCAAGGAAGGCTGTATGCAGACTAGGACAATGGCACTCTTAATGACACCAAGAGGACCAATGACCAGTGACCTCCCTTGTTGCTGCAGAGGATCTTGAATAGTAGCAAACATATGGAGCCCTGAATTCCAAAAATGACAGAGATTGACTGTTCCACCAGCCCAGCAGAATGGAGGCTCTCTCGGCTTTAAATTCATATAAAGAAAATAAATATTGGGGCTGGGCTGGTGGTGTAGTGGTTAAGCTCACGTGCTCCACTTAACAGTGGCCCGGGGTTTGCAGGTTCGGATCCTGGGCGCAGACCTACGTACTGCTTATCAAGCCATGCTGTGGGAGGCATCCCACATATAAAGTAGAGGAAGATGGGCACAGATGTTAGCCCAGGGCCACTCTTCCTCAGCAAAAAGAGGAGGATTGGCAACAGGTGTTAGCTCAGGGCTAATCTTCCTCACCAAAAAAAAAGAAAAATATCTATGATATTTCAGCATTTGTAGTGTGAGATTTATATTACTTACTCAATCATCTTTCTCTCTCTCTCTATTAAGAAACAAAGCACCAGTATGACTAACATTTAAGATAAGGGCTTTTCTGAACCACCAAAGAATTAAAAAAAAAAAAAAACTCCGAAGCTCCAAGGACTGCAATTTTTCATTATATCTTTTAACCTTGAGAAAGTACAGTCTCTCTTTTCATCTCTCATTTCTCTTTTATCAAATAACATTCAATAAGTATAGTTGTCCACTGACACAAAACAGAGTTCTGCACAAAACAGCATCAACTCACTTAGGGTCACAATCTTTTCAAGAATCTAAAATGTCAGGGAAGCAATGAAGTAGAGAGACGAGGAGCTGGCAGCATGGCCAAGGTGACTGATAAAGGGAGGAAATGAGGAGCTTGGGCAAATGAGTCTTGACTCAACAATATAGATGCAGCC